TGAGTGACTTGCCCAGGGTTATGGTTGCCAGTAAGTCTGAGGCAGGATTTGAACTTAGTTCTACTGTCAGTGGATTATATAGTGGGTAAAATATGAGAAGACCAGAAAGAGAGGCAAGATGCAGGTCATGGAAGGCTTTAAAAGCCAAAGAGAGGATTTTATATTTGATCCTGGAGGTGATAGGGAGCCACCAGTTGGATTTAATAGGGGTTGTGACATGATCATATTCGCATTTTAGGAAGATCTTTTTGACAGATAAGTGCAAGATGGGTTGGAGCGGAGAGAAACTTGAGGCAGGGAGACCATACTAGAATGCTATTATAATAGCCCAGAAGAGAAGTGATGAGGACCTGCAACCAGGATGGTAGCAGTGTCAGAGGAGAGAAGGCAGGTTGTGTATGGGAGAGATGTTACAACAATAGAAATGATAGGGCTTGGCAGCTGATTGAATATAGGGGGTGAGAAATAGTGGAGTCAAAGATGACGTAGATGGTGAGTCTGGGGGACTGGGAGGTGGGTGGCACCCTCAACAGTAATATGGAATTAGGAGTGAGGGAGGGTTTAGGTGGAAAGATAATGAGTTCAGTTTTGGACATGTTGAATTTAAGATGTCTGCTGGGCATCCAGTTCAAGACGTCTGAAAAGAAGTTGGAAATTTAAGACTGGAGGTCAGCAGAATGGTTAGAACAGCTCTCATCCCTTCACCCTGGGACTGTTACTAGCCTGCTGGATGGTCTGCCTTTCATTAAGCCTCTCCCCCTCAAATGCATCCTTCATTCAGCTGCCAAAGTGATTTTCCTAAAGAGCAGGTCCAGCCATGTTGGCTTCCTACTCAGTGAATTCCAATGGCTTCTCCAGGATAAAATACAGAATCCTTTGTTTGGCATTCAAAATCCCTTAATAGCTTTAATAACCCTGCCACCCCACCCCAAAAGAGACACACCTTTCCAGTCTTCTAACACTTTATTTATCTGCAAGTACTCTGCTATTCTATGACACTGGCCTCTTCTCTGTTCCATGAACAAGACACCCCATCTCTCTACTTGAAGCATTTTCTCTAAGCAATGGCTATTTGCTATTTCTGAGATACTCTCTCACCCACTGGCTTCCCTGGTTTCCTTCAAGTTCCAAGTAAAATCCCACCTTCTATAGGGAGGCTTTCCTAACCAATCTGATTTATTTTGTATTTTTCCATTAATTATTTCCTATTTATCCTCCATGTAGCTTGTTTGTATATATTTGTTTGCTCATTGTCTACCCCATCAGATTGCTAGTTCCTTGAAGAACTTCTGTCTTTTTGTATACCCAGGGCTTAGCACAAGGCCTGTAATAGGCGTTTAATTAATGCTTGTTGACTGATTGAGTTGAATCTATTGTAGCTAAGGAGGATTGCCAAGTGAAATAATATAGGGGAAAAGAGATTTGGAGGGACATTTACCGTTATAGGCTGTGACCTGGATGAAGATCCAGCAAAGGAGACTGAGGAGTGGCCAGACAGGTAGGAACAGAATGAGGAAAGAGTAGTGTCACAGAAATCTACAGAGACGAGAATACAGAAAAGAGGGTGATCAACAGTGTCAAAGGCTGCAGAGAAGTGAAAAGGGATGAGAAAAGACCATTGAGGACCTTGGCGATTACGTCGTCATTGGAAAGTGCCATTGTAGTTGAATCATGAGGCTAAACCTTGGAGAATTAAGAAGGGAGTAAGAGGAAAGGAGGTGTAGGCATCAATCTTAGACAGCCTCAGCCTTCTCATGGAATTTAGGTAGAAAAGGGGCTGGGCCATTGCCTGTAGTCTTGGCTTATGTGTGTCTTGCCACTGGACTCCAATGCATCTGGAGGAGAAATTGAGGCTGATGACTTTGTTCCTCGCTTAAATCCAAATCACTTGCAAGTCAAGATGTCACTCTCCTGATGTCATTGGTACCCTTTGAGAACAAAGGACAGACAACAACAAGGTAGAAAAGGGAGAGGACTGAAAGGATGATGGCTCACAGGGATGGGTGGATGTATCAAGGGAAGGGTTTTGGAGGATGGAGGAGAGAGACATGGGTGTGTTTGTGGGTGCAGGTGAGAAGACAGCTGTGGCGTCCATGTGACCTGAAAGGATGCCTGTGGAAGGGACACATGCAAGAGGCGAGCATCAGAGAGCAGAGCTAAAACTGTATAAACATCACTAATAAAACATTGTCTCTTTTTAGGTAAAAGAAAAAAGTCTTGTGGAAGTCAGGTTCCACTGTGCTTATATTACTGCTTCAGGCTTTTAGAAAGAGAAGAAGGCCAGGGGATGGTCTCAGTGGCTCTGGTAAACAGTGGTGGGGAAACTTCCTGACATTTGGAGGTAGGCAAATGCCTGGGGCTATTTTGCAGATGTTTGGAGTCAGCACTTTCCCTCACTCCTTTTCTGTTCCCTGCAGGGAGAAAATGGCTTTTCTTTTGTTTTTCCCTACTCCGCCTTCTGTGGTTTCTTTTTATTTTCTATTTCCATGGGGGTGGGGGTGGGGGAAGCAGTGCTGATGGGAATTATAGAGTAGCAGAATTTCAGACTTAAAAGGAAAAGTGATTCTTTCTACACCAGCCTTTACTTGAAGACCTCATTAAGGAAGCCCTCAAGCCCACATCTCCCTTTTTGAAAGTTTCATCCTCGCTCTCATTTCTGCCCTCTGGGGCCAAACAGAGCAAACCTAATTCCCTTTATACAGGATAGTTCAGATACTTGAAGGGCAGTTGAGTGGTGGTGAGTGGATGAAGCACTAGGCTTGGAGTCAGGAAGTCTCATCTTCCTGAGTTCAAATCTTACTAGCTGTGTGGCCCTGGGCAAGTCACTTAACCCAGTTTGCCTCAGTTTCCTCATCTGTAAAATGAGCTGGAGAAGGAAATGGCAAACCACTCCAGCATCTTTGCCAAGAAAACCCCAAATGGGGTCATGAAGAGTCAGACACGACTGAAAAAGGACTGAACAACAAAGGCAAAATTAAAAACTACTTTCAAGAAGTTTACAATCTTCTCAGGGGCACAGCATTTAAAGAGAAGCATATGGGGGCAGCTAGGTGGCGCAGTGGGCAGAGCACCGGCCCTGAAGTCGGGAGGACCTAAGTTCAAATTCGGCTTCAGACCAAACACTTGACACTTACTAGCTGTGTGACCCTGGGCAAGCCACTTAACTCCAATTGTCTTAAAAAAAGAAAAAAAAGACACATATAGAAACATATGCATAATCATCTGAGGAGGGTACAAGAACCAACAATGAAGGGAATCACAAAAACTCCCCACAGGAGATTATAGCCCCTTCACTAATAATACTTAAGATATAATTCTAATCTGATACTACCTCTCCCTCTGAGGAAAGTGAAGTGGTGGCCTCTGGCCCCAACCTCTCTGCTTCTTCTTCTGTCAGGAATGAAAGTCTCCCTTGGAGAAAGGTGGGAGGAGAAGAGGCCAGAGATGTCTGTTCTTCCTCCCATTTGAGTCATACACAACTGCAGTCCTCAATATGTGGGGCCCACTTTCTTTGTGGGGCTCTCTTTCCTTTACAACAATAATGTACAAAATTGAATTATAAACGTTCTAAGACAAAGTGCTATCAATAAATCACTCAACAATTTTTATCAAGTGCTTACTATGTGCCAGGCATTGTGCTAAGTGGTAGGGATACAATGAAGGGCAAAAATAGTCCCTGCCCTCAAGGAGCTTTCATTCCAACGAGTCAATGAATAAACATTTATTAAGCACCTACTATGTACCAGGCACTGTGATGAACTCTGGATAGAATAAAGGATAGAAAAAGAGGCAAAAGACAGTCCCTGCTCTTAAGGGGCTTTACAATCTAAATGGGAGAGACAATAAGCAAACACATATGTGCAAACAAGAGGTATGTCAGATAAACAGGAAGTAAATAAAAGAGAGAAGATACTCTAATTCAGAGGGTTTGGGAAAAGCTTCTTGTAGAAGATGGGACGTTAGTTGAACTTAAAGGAAGCCAGGGAAGCCGGGAGGTGGAGATGAGGAGGGAGAGCATTTCAGCTATGAGGGATAGCCAAAGAAAATGCCCAGAGCCTAGAGATAGAGTGTCTTGTTCATGGAACGGCCATTTCCTAGTCTAACTCATTTTACAGATTGAGGAAACTGAGGCAAACAGAAATTAAGTGACTTGCCCAGGGTCACACTGCTAGTAAGTATCAGAGGCCGGATTTGAGCTCAGGTCTTCCTGACTTCAGACCTGGCACTCTCTCCATTGTGTCTCCTAGCTGCCCTTCAATAAGCTTACTTCTTTTTAAGAAGGGGCAGGATGGTTTAATAGAAAGTACACTGATCTGGCATGAGGAACCTGGATTTGAATCCTGGCTCTTCTACTTACTATTTGTGCCAACTCAGGCAAGTCTGGGCTTTAGTTTCATAATCTGTGAAATGAAGGTCTTGGACTAAGTAATATCTACTATGTCTGGCAGCTCTAATTGCTGTGGATAAAAATAATAACACATTTATATAGTGAGTATTTGGAGTTTGAAGCACTTTTCTTATAATAACCCCAGCAGAAGGAATGTATTCAAGTATTTACTATACATTTTCTCTCCCCTTTCTCCCCAAATTAGGAAACTGAGGCTCTGACAAGGTAATTGGCTTGCTCAAGGTGTCGTCGGAAGTGGAAGAACTGGGACTTAAACCTTTGATTCAAAACCCAGTACTCTTTGTACCCCTGATGAAAATTAAAGGAAAGTGTCCACCTTGCGTATTTGCTTTGCTGAACACATTGGCACATCCCTTCCCTGACTTTATCCCCATAAGAATGTTTAGGGTGGGTCCACCTTTGGAAAAACCAGCTCGATTTCCTGCTGAAAGCCCGTCTCCCATTGCTGTTTTTCATGTCAGACAATTTGGAAACTGCTGATGGTACAAGGTTGTCTTCCAAGGAGAAGGAGGTGGTTCCCAAGAGCTTTTATTTAGTAGAATAAATAAGAGTCCTAAAAAGTTCTCTGACTAATTAGTAGGATAGAGGTCCTGGAAGGTAGAGCTGATGGATTCATTCACAGCCTGACTCTCTTCTTCCTCTTGCTCTGGGTAGGTATTTGCTCTAGGGATGCCTGAGCCTTTGACTCACTCCTCTCCAGATTGTTTGCTAGAGGATATGTATCTTGCTCCACCTCTACCTGGGTGCTACTTTATAACCTCCTCTCGGTTCCTAGAGGACAGACCTTGGAACGCCACACAGCAACCTTCTCCCTCCTTCCTTCTCACTTCGCCTCTGAGTCAAGGGAACAGCCATGGCAGCTATGGCAAGAAGACTATCTAAACAGCAGCGCTTAGTGGCGGAGGGCCTGGGTTCCAGCCAAAATGCTGTGAAATACCTGGGCCAGGACTATGAGACCTTAAGGAAACAGTGCTTGGAGACAGGGACTCTATTTAAGGACCCAGAATTCCCAGCATGTTCCTCAGCTTTGGGATACAAGGATCTGGGGCCATACTCTCCTCAAACCCAAGGGATTGTCTGGAAACGGCCCACGGTAAGGAGATGGATGAATTCATTGGAAATGATTTAGTTTAACAATTGGGTGGGTGGGGGAAGGAAGTTGATGCATTGTACTGCTCTGGACATGAGGGGTCATTGTTTAAGAATAGGGTGCTTCATGACCACACATTTCAAAATATCTCCTTTCTTCCTTCCTCCCTCTTTCCCTCCCTTCTTCCTTCCTTCTTTCCCTTCCTTTTTTCCCTTCTTTTTTCCTTTCATCCTCCTTCCTTTCTCATTCTTTTTTTCTTCCTTCCTTCTTTCTTTCCTTCCTTCCTTCCTTCCTTCCTTCCTTCCTTCCTTCCTTCCTTCCTTCCTTCCTTCCTTCCTTCCTTCTTTTCTTCCTGCCTTCCCTCTCTCAGTGTCTTGCAATGAGAAAAGCACTGGCTTTGGAGTCAGAGGCCCTGGGTTCAAATCTTACCTTTGATGGTTACTCCCTAAAGTGACCTTGGCCAAATCCCTTAATCTTCCTGGGCATCAGTCCTCATCTCTGCAGTGAAGGAGTTGGACTGAATAGCCTCTGAATTCTCTTCCAGTCTTAAATCTATGATCCTGTGAAACCCACCAAAAAATGTCCCATTGAACAAATCAAACCAAGATCACCTGGGAAGGCTGTAAGTTTAGCTTTTTTACATGGAAATCTTCAAGGCATGATTAAATATGCAAATTATCATTATATTACTGGACATACAGGACAGATCACTGACTATGGACTGAAAGGAGAAGTGGGGATAGCCCCTACTGTGTCATTCAGACTCTGCACTCCCCCTCTTCTCCCCGAAATAAGGGATGGAGAAGAAGAGAGGAGGCAGCCCTGGGCCTGGGCCTTTTCATTTAGCTGAGGGATGCTTTTGTTGCTTTTTGGCAACATGATAATAATAGTTGACATTTATAGAACACTTTGCAACCATTATCTCTGATCTTCACAACAATGTGTGAGGTAAGTACTTCTGCTATTCTCATCCTCACTTTACAGTTGAGGAGATGGAGGCTCTGAGGTGTTAATTGTCTGGTCATGCAGCTAGAAAGTGACAAAGGTAAGATTTAAATTCAGCTCTTTCCTGACTCTGGGATACTCTTTCAGTTTTACCAGATTTCTTCCTTAGGGCACATTGCATAAGGAGAACAAAACTAGGACTTTTAGAGTCTTCTGGATCTAATAGTGGGAGACTGAAGTCACCACCACCATTTCTTGGTAACTACTCATGTGAGAAGGGAGAATGAGAAAAATAGCTCAGTGTAGGCTGTTCCTTTCCCCTCTGTCTTCATTTTATCGCATTAAACATTTGTTTTCATCTTTTTAAGAATTTCATGGCACCCTTGAAACTTTTGGAGACGTTCAAGATGTGAGTAAATCTCAATGATTTACATGTTGAGAATCATAGATTTACACATTATTTTTGGAATATCCAGAGCATCAAGGGGTCTGAGAGAAAACTTGCCGAGATGAAGACCGGTTAACCAAGTGATAGGGGCTAAATCTCTTCAGAGGATTAAGAAATAGATTCCCCTCTTTCTTTTGCAATTCCTAAGGTCTTATGAATTCAATCATGTTGCCCGTTCTATCAAAACTATTTCTTCATTTAGTGTGGATGTTTTTGGTGACTATGATGGCTACAAGACAGTATGGTTATTAGTGTTGTTGTTTTGGGGGATGGGGGAAATGGAGCACTGCACCTGTGGTTTCATGGGTATAGGGAAATCCCTGTGTAGAAATTCCATCCTCTATTGCAGATGGGCAGCTGCTTCACAATTTATATGCTAGAGTTGCTTGGGGCCACTCAGAGGTTAAGTGACTTTCCCAGCCAGTATCTGTCAGAGAAGGGACTTGATCCCAGGTTTTCCTGACTCTGGGACCAATTTTCTTTTCTCTAAGCCAAAATGCCTTCTCTGTGCAGTAGGGAGACAAAGACAATAGACCCTGCTCCCAGGAGTTCATATTCTATGTAGCAATTCAACATGTATATAGCTAAATAAATATAAAGCAGATACAAAGTTATATGAAGCAATTACAATAGAGAGAGAATTCTAACAATCTGAGGATTATGAAAGAACTCCTGGAAAAGGAGTTATCTGAGATGTGCTTTAACTGAAGCCAGGGGACTAAATTCAGTCACTCAATAAACATTTATTAAGCACCTACTATATGCTAGGCACTGTGTTAAGCTCTGGGGATAGAAAAAGGCAAAAGTCAAAAAAAAAAGAAAAGAAAAAAAAGCAAGAAACAGCTCTTGCCCTCAAGGAGAGCAAGGTATATACCAATACAGATACAAAGAAAGGCAAAAGACAGTCATTGTCCTCAAGGAGCTCACAAGCTAACAGGGGAGACAATGTGCAAACAGCTATGGAAAAACAATAGGAGGCAGAGGTAAGGAGGGCATTCTGGGGACCATCTGTACAAGGGCACAGAAATGATGCCTGTGATCACCATCTCAGGAATTTTGTGCTTACCAAAATACACAAGAAAGGACAATGGAGCCACAGGGCTAGATTAGTGACCACTGAAGAAATTATTGTTCCTTGGAGGCTGCAAATGTTCATCGAATAAATAAAACCTTAACAACCTCCTCATCAATCATCGATAAATAATTGTTGAATGTTTGCTACAGGCAGTGCTTTATGCTAGGCATGGCATAAAGCTCATTGTAAAAGCCAGAGGTCTGGCCATCCTGGACTTGCAGACTGGTTATATCTAATTCAGATGAAACCAGGAGTCCGGGAGGATTGAGATGCGATTCCTAGCTCTGTTATTGATATGCTGTATGACCCCGGGTGAGGGAGCCTACTCTTCTACCCCTTAGTACCTTTAACTCCATGTCAGTTCTTTTATCTATTAAAATGGCCCGGAGAAGGGGACAGGGCCTGTCGTGACATGTGTCTCATCTCTTAGGGTGGCAGAAGGATGAAAGTGTTTGGGAACAGTTGTGAACTTCTTGGAGATGAGGGAGCTGCAGTAGAGCGTCATGTTTGTTGCTCTCTCTACTTCATTCTTATCCGTTTGGTCTCCTAGTCAGGAGAGCTGCCCAAATGTGGCTCTTCATCCTGGTTCACACAGAAATGTTTATTTTCATCTGCCTTAGGGGGAAAGGAGATGAGGCAGACCGAATGAATATATTTTTGCCCTCTCAGCAGATAAATAAAGCACAATGCTCGTATGAAGTCACGTTTTCTCTGAAATAGCGAAATTTGGTTTCTCTGCCCCTGCTGGTTATTTCTGCTCGTCTTTAAGTTTGGAGGTGGAGGAGGGGGAGGAAGGCTATGCTGATGCATTGGCCTTGTTCTCCAGTTCCAGGAAGAAAATTATTTTGTCCATACTAAGATCCCTATATTTTCCAGGCTAGGGGTTCTTAACCTTTTGTTGGTTCACAAACCCCTTTGGTAGACTGGTGAACACTATAGACCAGGGGTGGGGAACCTGTGGCCTTGAGGCCACATGTGGCCTTCTAGGTCCTTGGGTGCAGCCTTTTGACTGAGTCCAAGTTTTACAGAACAAATCCTTTTATTAAGGGGATTTGGATTCAGATTCAGTCAAAGGGTTGTATTTGAGGACTTAGAGGGCCACATGTGGCCTTGAGACCGCAGGTTCTCCACCCCTGCTACAGACCCTTTTTAGAACAATGTCTTCTTGCTTACATTCATAATGGAAGGAAATACTAAATTTCAGTTAGAGTTTAGTGGAAAAAAAGGTGTATTTTTTTTCCCTATCCAAGTTCATGTATACCCTGAAATCTATCCATGGACCTCTTGCTCTAGGAGGATCTCAAAGGTACAGATGCCCAGAATAGAACAGGGAGGATTCTCTCTCTCTTTCTCTGTCTCTGTCTGTCTGTCTGTCTCTCCCCCTCTCTCCCCTCCTCCCTCCCTCCCTCCCTCTCTCTCTCTCTCTTTCTCTCCCCCCCTTTCCTTCTCTCTCTCTCTCCCCACCCTCTCCCTCCACCCTCTCTCTCTCTCTCTCTCTCTCTCTCTCTCCCCCCCCCCCCCCTTTTTGCCAGTGCTTTTTGGGTATACATGTTGCACCCTCGTAGGGAACACTGACTCTTCTGGGTTCCCTATTTCCACTGGTTGCGGTTGTGTAGAAGAAAAAAATATCCTGACCCAGGGACAACTTAAGCCCATTCAGAAACAGAGGAGTATTTGCTGAGCCCTTTCCCCAAATCTTTTATTCACCTGCCTTTCTGGAAGCTCTGCAAAATTAGCACACAGCCTAATGCTTATGGAGTCTGAGTTATGCACAGCATGAACAGGTATCTGCTCAGGCCCAATCAATGGGGCTCAACTCTAAAGCCAAAGTCCATTTTTTGGTGATTAGACATCCTATTGATTTCAAGGAGAGATGCGGAGAGATAGGAGGAGGACATGTTTGTAGAATAATGGAGATCATTGGGCCTGCCTACTGGTCAGAAGAGCTGGGAGTGGGGTAGGGCTGGGCTTGGGGAGTAAGGAGGAAAGAAAGGGAGAAATAGCTCTCTGCCTCCTTATCTCCCTGGCTTTGCTCTGAACCCAAAGTATCCTGGGCTGTTAAATGTAGCCTAGGCATGCGTGAGTGCATGCGTGTGCGTGTGTGTGTGTGTGCGCGCGTGTGCGTGTGTGTGTGTGTGTGTGTGTGTGTGTGTGTGTGTGTGGTGGCAATGGGAAGAAGCATATGCAGAGTCCCAGGCTTTTCGAGATAGAAGGATTCTTGGAGATCATTTGGTCCAGATGCCCTCATTTTACAGACGGCAAAGGTAAGGCCTAATGAGAAATGACTTGCCCAAAGTAACAGAAAAATAGAGACAGAGCTAGGATTAGGACCCAGGTCCTCTGACTCCCAATCTAACACTTTTCTTATGATACCTTGGCTACCGTTTGTTTTCCTCTTTGGCTTGTGTTGGAAAGAATAAATGGATAAACAGAATAAACTGAGTAATAGCTTAATATTTGCTAATATTGACGCCTGGGAGTGGGTCAGCTAAGGAGCTAATATTATAAATCTTATCTCAGTATGGTGGCATTATCTTTGTTATCAACCACACCATGTTACTGACTCACATGGAGCTTATGGTCAATGAAAACACCTTAGTCTTTTTCACATGGACTGCTGCCAAGCCTGGGTTCTCCAGTCCTATGTTCGTATAACAATTTTTTTTTGAAAAGGCACATACTAAAGGCTTACAATGTGAGTAGCTAGGTGGTACAGTGGATAGTGCTTAGCTTGGAGTCAGAAAGATTTATCTTCTTGAATTCAAATCTGGCCTCAGATACTTACTAGCTATGTGACCTTGGACAAATCACTTAACCCGTTAGCCTCAGTTTCCTCATCTGTAAAAGTAGCTGGAAAAGGAAATGGCAAACCATTCCAGATCTTTGCCAAGAAAACTCCAGATGGGGTCACAAAAAGTTGGATACAACTGAAACAACTGAACAATACCACAACAGTTACAATATGAAAATCATGCGCTAGGTGCTGGGGATACAAATAGAAAAGCAGAGACAGTCCTTATAAGCAAGTCTTTACATTTTTTTAAAAAAAAATTGACCCAGACTTGTGATTTCATCCATGTAGCTGGTGGCACAGTGGATGAAGTTCTGGACCCAGAGCCAGGAAGAACTGAATTCAAATCTGGCTTCAGATACTTACTAGCTGTATGACCTGAGAACCACTTAACCTTTGTCTCAGTTTTTTTATCTGTAAAATGAGGATCATAACAGCAGCTATCCCCCCAGGGTTGTTATGAGGATAAAATCAGATAATATTTGAAAAGCTCTTTGTGAATCTTAATTCTCTGTACGAATGCTAGATATTATTACATAGAGAGCTCCTGGCAAATATGCCCTCTTCTGATGCAGTTTGACGCTTTCCCTAAAACTTACAGTCTTAGCATTTCCTGGGACACTCAGAGATTAAAGACTTGCCCAGCATCCTATAGCCAGTATATAGGTGAGACTTGAATTCAAATCTTTTAGATTCTGAGACCAAGTATTCTGTAGGTTTTTGTACTTCATTATTGAATTTCATTCTTTTGGTTTCAGACTGAGATGCTGGCCTGTTGAGATAATTTAGAAATTTAATTCTTTCATCTATCACATTACTTGTCCATTTTCCCAGTAACATGTCATCCACAAACATTATAAGCATGATTTTTTTTGCCTTTATAAATGCTTTGATAAAAAATGTTGACTAGAAGAGAGCCAGTGGTATACCACTAGAGACTGTATAACCTTCTGAACAATCCTCTTTAAAGATTGTACAAGGTCACTTAGGTATTTGTCTATCTTTTTTTTCAGAAGGATGTCATGAGACTGTATCAAATGTCTTGCTGAAATCAAGAAACTATGATTGTGTCCATAACCATTCATAATCTACTAATATAGGAATGCTATTTCATTAAGAAGGAAATGAAGTTCATGTTATAAGACTACTCAGTCAACTAAGTGATCACTTCTTTTCGTAGGTGCTGACAAGCCATCTGAATAATAATCCATGAGATAGCCTTCATAATCTGGCTCCTAACTGTCTTTCCAGCCATATCTCATGGTTCTCTTCTTAGTCCAATCCATATCCCAGCCAAACTGTTCCCCTATGAGGTTACATGATGTTTCTTCAGCACCACAAAGCCAGTATGTGTTAGAGGCAGGTTTGGAACTTGACTCAGAGACCAGGTCTGTTTCCACCTGCCACACTGCCAAACTGTCCTCAGGAGGAGTTCACTGTTCCTGGCCTCATTGCCTCCATCCCTAGAAAAGGTCCTCTCTCTTTTCCCATCTCAGCTTATTGACGCCTTTCTTCATTTTTGGATCATACGCCACATATTTCAAGTAACCTTTCCTTATCCCCCTACCTAGAAGTGAACTTTTCTTCCTTGAATCTCTCATGGTACTGGGTTTCACTTCTTTTCAATGAATAATTTTTTACTTGTATTGTAGCTGGTTTAAAAAACATATTCAAAGAGGATTGTTTAGAGGATTGATGTCAACCTGTGAGGATCTGCCCATGAGATGTGCATCCCATCCTTCCCCACATTATCTCCCTCTAGATTGTAAAATCCTTGAGGGCAAGGACTGGATTTTACTTAGTCATCTTCAGTGACTTCAAATATTTGACAGCAGCTATCATTTCCTACCTTGATCTTCTCTAGGCTAAACACCCCAAATTCCTTCAATTAATCCTTATGTGAGAAGGACTCAAGGTCCTTCACCGTTCTGGTTACCCTCCTCTGGAAATTCTCCAACGTACCAATTTCCTTCTTTGTGGACAGTGTCATGGTAGCATAGAGGAAGGAGATATCCCATGTAACTGCGTCACCTAGAGGTGATAATACAGCTATCATTACACTTTAGAGTTTCCATGTCTTGAAACACGTGTAGCTGCTGGCTTCGTGGTAACTTCTCCAAAATGGCTCCAGAATCTGCCTTCCCCCCACAGTCTTCTCACAAAGACCTGACCCTCTCACGTCCTGTGCTTGCTATACTTACTTTACTGAACTGCCTGCTCCTTCTCCACATCAAACTCAGACTTCTCTTCCTATCCAGAGTCCTGGTGGCCATCCTCTCTTTTGTGTCTGCCCTCAGCTCCACCCCTTCTGTTTTCCCATCTACTTTCATCTCCCCGTGTCTCATTCTTTTGGAGAAAAGTAGAAAAGCTATTTCTTGATGTAGCAAGTTCCAGGATCCCCCTGATCAAAAGCAAGGGGGTTTCCCCCTGTTTCCAAGGACTTTCTCCTAAGCACACTGGCTGATTGGGGTTACCCTTTGTATTAATACTTTGCCTCTTTCAGATATTTCAGAGTAGGCCTTGCTACCTTTTGCCTGATGGATGTTATCTTTACTCTTCTAGGTTTTTCTGTCTGTAACCTCTTAATAGACAGTATTTATCATGGTACTGTAGACCCAGAGCTGAAAGGGATCTTGGAGATTATCTACTCAAGCTCCCTCTCCTTATATATGAGGAAACTGAGGCTCAGAGAATTTAAGTGACTTTCTCAAAGACACAGAGAGTAGGAAGTACCAGAGCTGGGCTTCAACTTCAGGTCCTATCACTCTTCTGTGCCACCTCCCCCCCCCCACCCCATCCTGTGTATTTTATCTGCCCCATCATTGGGTACTTTTCTTCTTCCCTAGTGGTTTATTTAGGTAAGCTTTTCTGCAAACAGAACTAAGATTAGGAATTTTTGCACTCTGGTCAAAGGCCATAAACCAAGCCTAGTGCAACCAGCTCAGTGGCTCAGTGGATAGAGCACCAGGCCTGCAGTCATGAAGACCTGAGTTACGACCAAACTTCAGATACTTACTCACGGTGTCTGGGCAAGTCATTTAACTTCTGTCTGCCTCAGTTTTCTTATCTGTAAAATGAGATTAATAATAGCACCTGCCTCATAGGGTGGTTGTAATGATCAACTGAAATAATATTTGTAACATGTGTTGTAAACCTTAAAGCGCTATGTAAGTACTCTCACAAGCAGCATAAATCACAGGCTCATATAGGGTGGGGGAGGAGAGAAGGTAGGAATCTCAGTGGCAGAGAGAAACTAGGAAAGACTCACCCTAGAGCAGAGGAGGAGCCCAATTAAGCTGACCTTTTGTAGCTTCCTACATTAACTAAATATCATTGCTAATGAAGGCTAAACTCTGTTATTTCTACCTGCTAAAGACCTTTAAGTGTTGTTAATCAACAAGGATTTTATTAAATACAAGCTATAAGCCTGGCATTTGTATTAGGTTCTGGGACATAAACACAAAGGTGATACAGTTCCTGCACTCTGGAAGTTTATAGTCCACTAGTTTTTAACCTTTAGGTTTAACACCCTCTAAATTCAGCACCCTGGAGCAAAGCTCTTATGGGCTCACCCTAGTTATTTCCTCCAACTACATTATAAATTCCTTGGCTGCAAAGACTGTTTCTTCTATTTCTTTTGTGTTCAAACTTCCTCCATAGCATTTCATATAATGCTAAATACAAGTAGATGTTCAGTAAATAACTGAATAAACAAATAGTGTTCACTTATTCAGACATTTTCCGAACAACATTTCTATGAAGCTATGAAATACAGAGACAACTTAGTTGCCAATGAGGTGTGTGTGGGGAGGTTAGTTGAGGGAGCATAAGGTTAGAAGTTAGAAGACTCAAGGGTTGAGTCATCTTCTTTTACTGACTCTGTAGTCGATTCTTGATGTGGCACTTCCTAGCTTTCCAAGTTTTCCCATCAGCATAATGAGAAGCATTATCATAATCATTAAGCATTTAATGAGCATCCACAGGGAGCCCAGCTCTTTACTAGGTGCTAGGTAATATTTTTATCTTCTATCTGGATAATTGGGGTGTTGCCATGATGTATGAGATTTTTCTTCAGCACATTAATATGTCTACTTTGGGGTAACAAAGAGCAAGAAAAAAGATCCCTCAAATATCTTCCATCCAAACCATCATTATTGCTGGAAATGTTGTGATGAATTTTTTTTTTTTGTACCAAATTCCTTTCAGGAGCTGTGTCCTGACCCACAGTTTATTGCTGGTGGAGCTACTCGAACAGATGTTTGTCAGGGTGCCCTTGGTAAGTAATGGGTGTGTGCGTATGGCGGTGAGGCTTATTAAGGGTGAACGTTTTGTTTGTTTTTAGTGAAGTTGCATTTCTACATATATAAGAACGAACAGCATCTGATAAGGCAGTATGACATTTTGAGAAAACAAAAAACATGAATAGGTATGTATTCATCCGTGCTCTTATAACTACTTTCTTGGGGGTGAATCCAGGACTCTGAAATTATCTTAAACTTTGTGTTTTTTCCCTTTTATTTAACAAACATTTATTAAGCTTTCCATGGCAGGGTGATGGTACTGTGGAAAAAAGACTGAACATTGAAGTTGCAGGACCTGAGTTTGAATTCTGGCTGTGCTGCTTCTTAGCCACGTAACCTTGGTCAAGTCTCTTAGCCTCTAGGCCTCAGTTTCTTCATCTATAAAATGAGTTACTTGGATAGAGTAACCTCTAAGATCCCTTTTAGCTCCAGATAAAGAGATAGGTAGTCATGGGGGATAGAACACTGGACTTAGAGTCAGAAAAACCTGATTTCAAATCCTGCTACAGATGCTTATTAGCTGTGTAGCCCTGAGCAAGTCACTTAACCTCTATTTGCCTCAGCTTCCTCATCTGTAAAATGAGAATAATAATAGCACCTCTCTCCCAGGATTGTTATGAGGATCAAACGAGATATTTGTAAAGAGCTTTGCGAATATTTGCGAGCAATTAATTGATCTATGATGACATGATTTTCTGTATGTTCAGCACTATGCTGTGTTCTTTCTTTCTTTCTTTCTTTCTTTCTTTCTTTCTTTCTTTCTTTCTTTCTTTCTTCTTTCTTTCTTTCTTTCTTTCTTTCTTTCGGCAATTGAGGTTAAGTGACTTGCCCAAAGTCACACAGCTAGTAAGTGTTATGTGTCTGAGGCCGGATTTGAACTCAGGTCCTCCTGACTTCAGGGCCTGTGCTTTATCCACTTTGCCACCTAGCTGCCCCAGTGAGTTCTTTTTCTTCAGAACATTAATATCTCCTTTTTTGGCTAACAAGGAAGAAGAAAAGAAATTCCTCAAATATCCAGGATTCCTTCATCCAAATTATCATTATTGCTGGAAATGTGATGCATTTTTTTGATGTCTTCTAGGGTCAGGGTCCAATTTCTATTTTTTTTTCACCAATACTCCTTGTCATTCACTCTGCCTTGAAGCTGAACAAGATCACTTGTTGTCCCTCAATCTCATTCTGTGCTGTCCCAGTTTCATACCTTAACACAGGCTCTCTATCCCCTGTGCCTTTAACACACTTCTTCACCTCCACTCTTTTTTTTTTAAGGCAATTAGGGTTAAGTGACTTGCCCAGGGTCACATAGCTAGTAAGTGTCAAGTGTTTGGTCTGAGATCAGATTTGAACTCAGGTCCTCCTGACTTCAGGGCCAGTGCTATATCCACTGCGCCACCTAGCTGCCCTTTCACCTCCACTTCTTGAAATACACTATGGCTCTTTCTTCGAGGCTCAGTTAAAGTTCTGTTTCTTCATGGAAGAAGCAGGCTTCTGACTTCCTTATTGCCCAGTGGAAAATATCTTTTCCCTCAGATTTTCCTAGAATACTTTGTCTGGATCTCTCCTTTGCCCCTTCCACACTATACCTATTTGTGAATATGTTCCATGTCTATGTCTTTCCTGCCACCTCTTCAACTGCCCCCATGACATCCTCCAGTACTTTCAAGTGGCTATAAGCCCCTTGAGGGCAGGGAGCATCTTTGTCCTTTTTCACCATCTTTAGATCCTACAAAAGTTCCTTCCATGTAGAAAGTATTTAGTGAATGTTTATTGAATTGAATTGAATTGATAGCACACAGACCCTGCCCTCATGGAGCTAACTTTTTGACTTATGTAAAATAGAGTAATACTTTATATTTATTTTGAGCTTTGTGTAGTCTTTTCTGTACATAATGTCATCTATTATGCTCAAGAACTCTGTGTGGATGAAGGCAGAGTGACAGAGACTATTACCCTAATTTTACAGCTGATCTATCTAGGTAGCACAGTGAATAGAGTGCTGGACTTGGAATTGGGAAGACGAGTTCAAATCTTTCTTAAACACTTACTAGCTGGGTGACACTGGGCAAATCATTTAACCTTTCTCATTCTCAGCTTTTTATCTGTAAAATGAGGATAAAAATAGTGCTTATCAAACCAGGTTATTGTGAAGATCAAATGAGTTAACGTATGTAAAATGCTTTGCAATTATTGAAGCATTATATAAATGCTTCTATTGAGTTATTTCAGTTGTGTCTGATTCTTCATGACCCCATTTGTTTTGGTTTTTTTGCAAAGACACTGGAGTGGTTTGCCATTTCCTTTTCTAATTCATTTTACAGATGAAGAAACTGAGGCAAACAGGGTTAAGTGACTTGCCCAGGGTCATACAGGTAGAGTAAGTGTCTGAGGCCAGATCTGAATTCAGGAAAATGAGTCTTCCAGACTCCAGGCTTGGTGCTCTATCCACCGGACCACTTAGCTAATGCTAGCTATTCTTTTTATGATTATTTGATGATGAAACTTGAACTCAGAGAGGTTAAGGACTTGCTTAAAACTACATTGGTAACAAGCAGTGAAGGAAGTACTCACACCTAGTATACCAGGCTTCCTGCCTTGATAAATGAGGGGCAGTGAAGATAGGATTCTAGGAATGGTCATCATGCCAGCTAAGCAGCCTTTTGGAGGCCCAGGATCTTGGCTGCGTCTCACCTTTTCATATTCGTTGCGGATAAGATCCTGTGTCATTTAAGGAAAAATTAATTTTTAATGAGTTTTATTCTCACTTGTCAGAATGTATACACTCTCCTCCCTGATAACAGACTTAGTCATTCTGATTATGCAAGGCCTCCTCTTAACGTGGCCTTGAAGACTGGAACTGCTGTCTGAAGTGGGACAACATTTGTACTTCAGTGAACAGATTCTGCTGTGCCTCTGGACCCATGTTCAGTGACAGTGAAGCCAAATACCTGTGAATCAGAGAAGTGACAGACAAAATGAAGCTGATTCAAAGAAAAGCAGTGGAAAAAAAATCTGACCATAGGAAAAAAGAAATAAATTTTTTTTTTTAGAAAAGTTTCTTTTTCTCCTTGTATCTCCTCTGTTCTCTCTCCAGCTTTGAGATCTTCATTACTCTGAAAATCAAGGAACAGTTTAAGAAAAAAATGGCTCTAGTTTCTTCTTAATGAGAATGACAAGCAAACCCACCACATGTGGAGTTTTTCAGCAATGAGAAGGATTGTGTGATATCAGACATATCAGACCTCCTAAGTGATAGACACGCCTATTCTTTTGTAAGCCTGTAACTGATGCTATCAGAGGAGTGGCAAGGATTGGCTCCTTTGGTTGATTTGGAGGAATGTTAATATTTATTCACCTTACCTGGAAAACGATTAACTTTTTAACATACATGCCAAAGAAATTAACCCTCATTTCTAAAACCCTGACAAGTGTTTGGTCTGAGACAGTATTTGAACTCAGGTCCTCCTGACTTCAGGGCTGGTGCTCTATCCACTGCACCACCTAGCTTCCCCTCCTTTAATATATTCTTATTAAACCAAGAGAGTGGCAGGATGGTCTGGAAGATTTAGGTTAAAATCCTGTCTGACACTTACTAGCTATGTGACCCTAGGTAACCTTGCTTCGAGCAACTTTCTGAAACTTTTGTTGTTGTTCAGTCATGTCTGACTGTGTGACCCCCATTTGGGGCTTTCTTGGCAGAGATACTGGGGTGGTTTGCCATTTCCTTCTCCAGTTTACTTTATAGATGAGGAAACTGAGGCAAATAGGGTTGAGTGACTTGCCCAGGGTCACCTAACTAGTAAGTGGCTGTGGCCAGATTTGAACTCAGAAGATGAGTCTGCTTGACTCCAGGCCTATTCACTGCGTCACCTAGCTACTCCCAAGCTCTGAAACTTGGCTAAGTTATAGAGGGGCTGTGATCAGTATTAATGAAAGGGCTTATCATACTGACAGTTTTCCACATTGAGAAAAATTACAGATCATTCACACATTAGCTTATTTGCCCATAAAATCAGAGAAGAAGGTTTTTAAAAAAAAATATTTTCACATTAGTCATATTGTAAGGAAGAATTAGAACCAATAGGAAGAACCACAAGAAAGAGGAAACAAAACAAAACAGAAGGAAAAAAAAAGAGCAAATAGTATGCTTCTATCTGCATTCAAACTCCATAGTTCTTTTTCTGGATGTGGATAGCATTTTCCGTCATGAGACTTTTGGAGATGTCTTAGATCCTTGCATTGCTGAGAAGAGCTAAGTCTTTCAAAATCAGTCATCACACAATGTGGCTGTTATTGTGCACAACATTCTCCTGGTTCTGCTCACTTCACTCAGTATCAGTCCATCCAAGTCTTTCCAAGTTTTTCTGAAGTCCACCAGGTCATCATTTCTTATAGCACAATAGCATTCCATCACATTCATATTCCACAACTTGTTCAGTCCTTCCCTAATTGATGGGCATCCCCTCAATTTCCAATTCTTGGCCACCACAAAAAGAGCTGCTATAAATATTTTTATATGTGTGAGTCTTTTTCCCATTTGTATGAGAATATGGAAGAGGCATAGTCCCTGGAGGTCTGGCCTGGAGGATGCCATTTGAGGTAAGAATAAGGGGGTAGAGGCAGGGAAGATGGCAGGATGCTTGGGGTGAATAGTTGGATGAGATGTCAAAGAAGTGCTCTGGCCTTGAAGTCGGGAGGCCTGAGTTTGGTTTCTGGATCTGCCACTTATTGGTTCAGTGATCTTGGGCAAGTCCTTTAACCTCCCTTACTCTCAGTTGGTGCAGCTAGGTGGCACAGTGGATAGAGTGCCAGGACTGGAGTCAGGAAGACTCACTTTCCTGAGTTCAAATCTGGCCTCAGACACTTACTAGCTGTGTGACCCTGGGCAAGTCACTTAACCCTGTTTGCCTCAGTTTCCTCATCTGTAAAGTGAGCTGGGGAAGGAAATGGCAAACCACTCCAATATCTGCCAAGAAAA